ATTAGCCTTGAGTAAAAGAGCTGAGTGAGAGTGGGAGCCCTGAGTTCAAGTGCCAGAGACAAACAACCAACCAAAATGGTGCCACCAAGTCTTGCTCAAGGTCACACCCGGAGTTCAAAGCTGTTAATGACAGCGATGGAGACAGTGAGAATGTTTAAGTCCATCCTGATATATATATATTCTGTATATACACACAAATATATATATGTATATATACATATATTTATATATATATTTATTTAAAACCAGGAAATTTCTATGAGCTAGAAATTGTGCTCAGTTCTATATTAGCATTATTTGATTTTTTCTGGACAATCCTGCAAGAATTACTGTTTTTAATTAACATTTTACTGATGAGCAAGCCAAGGAATGAGAAAGTTAAACTGTACAGTCATAGCTGGATGCTGGTGGCTCATGCCTATAATCCTAGTTGCTCAGGGGGCGATCTGAGGATCGTGGTTCAAAGCCAGGCTGGGAGAAAAGTCCCCATGAGATTCTTACTTCCAACTAACCTCTCAAAAACCAGAAGTGGGGGCTGGGAAGGTGGCTTAGTGGTAGAGCACTTGCCTTGCATGCCTGAGGCCCTGGGTTCGATTCCTCAGCACCACATAAGCAAAAAGAAAAAAGCCGGAAGTGGCGCTGTGGCTCAAGTGGTAGAGCGCTAGCCTTAAGCTGAAGAGCTGAGGGACAGCGCCCAGGCCCAGAGTTCAGGCCCCACGACCGGACCAAAAAAAAAAAAAAACAAACCAGAAGTGGTTCTGTGGCTCAAAGTGGTAGAGTTCTAGCCTTGAGCAAAGTAGCTCAGGGACAGTGCAAAGGCCTTGAGTTCAAGGCCCATGAACGGAAAAAAAAAAACAACCAAAATTGTATAGTCACATAATGCCACTTTATTGATTTATTTGTTTATTCCTATATGTGGAGATGAAGATAAAACCCAGGGCTTGAGGTATGCCAGATGAGCACTTTACAGCTGAGCTACATATTCAATCTTAGCATATTGCTTTAATTAAATACTTTGAAAAGCAGATAATTCATTATCCTCTCTCTCTTTCTCTCTGTTCTACCAGACCTTCTGAAAGCCTCCTTTTCCAGGAATTCCTAACCACAATAAGCTAAAATTATCTAATTGTGTTCAAATGATCAATGATCTAAACAATGTCTTGTCTCTACTTTTTTTTTTTCTTTTTGGTGGTCCTAGGGCTTTAACTTAGGGTCTGAGTGTTATCCCTGAGCTTTTTTGCTCAAGGCTAGCACTCTACCACTTGAGCTGAAGCTCTACTTCCATCTCTCCCCTTTCCCCCTGCCCCCGAAACCTGGGCACTCTCCAGCTCTTTCGCTCAAGGCTAGAGCTCTACCACTTTGAGCCACAGCACTGCTTCAGGTCTTCTGGTAGTTAATTGGAGTTTCATGGACTTTCCTTCCTGGGCTGGCTTTGAACTACAATCCTCAGATCTTAGCCTCCTGAGTAACTAGGATTATAGGTATGAGCCACTGGCTCCTGGCTTTACTTCCAGGTTTTTTGGTCATTAATTGGAATTCAAGAGTCTTATGGGGCTGGGAAGGTGGCTCAGTGGTAGAGTGCTTGCCTTGCATGCATGAGGCCCTTGGTTCGATTCCTCAGCACTACATAAGAAGAAAAAGCAGGAAGTGGTGCTGTGGCTCAAGTGGTAGAGCGCCAGCCTTGAGTTGAAGAGCCCAGGGACAGCGCCCAAGCCCAGAGTTTAGGCCCCATGATCAACAACAACAAAAATAGAGTCTTACGGACTTTTCTGCCTAGGCAGGCTTCAGCCCTAGATCCTTAGTGTCAGCCTCCTGAGTAGCTAGGATTATAGGCCTGAGCCACTGCCACCTGGCAATGCCATGTTTTTAACTAAACTTTATGGGAATCATCAAGGTCTCATTAATTATTTTGCCTCACTCTAGAACCAGGCTCCCTGTCTGTTGCTTGTTCCCTGTCAAGTATATAATTCATGTCTGTACTGCTGAAGATGGCTGGAGATGTACTGAAGTCATCTTCTCATGGCTGCCATGTAATAAATCATTCTCAGCTCTTCACCATGTCTCTTTATTTCATGTACAAGGATAAATGGCCAGACCCAACATGTGTAACTCCTGAAGTTTAACCCTGGGGTCTGAAAAACCTATGTTCATATCTATTGTATACTTGAAATGTTCCACAACAAAAAACACTTAAAAAATGTCATTATTATGAGCCTGGTGCTGGTGGCTGATACCTGTAATCCTTGCTACTCAGAAGGCTGAGATTTGAGGATCAAGGTTTACAGCCCAGCCAGGACAAGGAAAGTCAGTGAGACTCTAATCGCGAATTAACCACCAGAAAACCAGAAGTAGCACTGTGGCTCCACTGGTAGAGCACTCACCTTGAGCTGAAGAGTTCAGGGACAGCGTCCAGACCCAGAATTCAAGCCCCACAAATGACAAAAAAACAAAACAACAAAAAACAAAACAAAAAAAACCCCAGAATGACTCTAAATTAAAAAAGACCAGAGATATAACAAAGGAGGTGAATTTGACTAGACAGCACTGAAAATTAGATACTCAGGAAGGTAAGACAGGAGGATCTCAAGCTTGAGGACAGCTTAAGCTACAAAGCAAGAACATGTATCAAAAAAAAAAAAATGTCAATTGGAAGCCAGGTGCCAGTGGCTCACTCCTGTAATCCTAGCTATTCAGGAGGCTGAGATCGGAGGATCCTGGTTCAAAGCCAGCCCAGCCAGGAAAGGCCATGAGACACATCTCCAATAAACCACCAGAAAACTGGAAGTGGTAGAGCTTACATGGTAGAGTAGTAGCCTTGAGCTGAAGAGCTAAGGGACAGCGCTCAGGACCAGAGTTCAAGCCCCATGACTGACCAAAAAAAGAAAAAAAAAGTCAATTGTGAAAACTAGGAGGACTGAAAATCTAATCTTTTTTTTTTTGCCAGTCATGGGGCCTGAACTCTGGGCCTGGGTGCTGTCCCTCAGCTCTTCAACTCAAGGCTAGCACTCTACCACTTGAGCCACAGCGCTACCACCAGCTTTTCTGCTTATGTGGTGCTGAGGAATTGAACTCACGGCCTCATGCATGAAAGGCAAGCACTCTACCACAGAGCCACCTTTCCAGCCTCTGAAAAATCTAATCTGTATTAGATAGAGTACTACACTGTTCAATTTCCTGAGTGAAAAATTGTTGAATATTTAGGGTTAGGAGAATGTCATTATTCATGCTTAGGGGATCATGTTAAATTACTTGGGATAAAGCATTATGCTATCTGCTTCCAAGTAGTTCACAATAAAGGTCTATCTAGGTAGAGAGATAAAATGGAGTAAAATGTTCAGAATTGATGAAACAAAATGGAAAGTATAAAATGTAAATGTTTAGTTTTTGGCAGTCTTCCATGGGTTTAATTTTTCCCCAAATAAATACTTAGCAGAGAAAGAATACAAGAAAATATTTAATATTATAGAAAAATAAAAGACATTCATGCACTTTTTATATTGGTACTGAGGTTGAAAGCCAGGGCCTTGAACCTGCTAGGCAAGCTCTCAACTACCTGAGCCAAGCCCCCAGCCCTTTTTCTTTTATCCTTTTTCAGATAGGCTGATCTAGACCACATTCCTCCTATTTACACTTCAACTTAGCTGGGATGCCAGGTACACCACCATGCCCAGTTTTTATTGGTTGAGATGATGTCTCCTCAACTTTTAGTTCAGGTTGTCCTCTGGCTGGAAACCTCCTGATCTCTGCTTTGTGACTATAGCTAGGGTTACAAGTATGAGTCACCATACCTACCTTATATATACTTTTTTTTTTTTTAAGTGGAAGGAGAATCCTAAAAGTAATATTGAACTTTTGGTGGGAAGAGAGGATATGACAGAAAGGAGGGGATTGAAAAGGCAGATTTTTGGAATTAAAAATCCAAAATAAGATACTTAAAAAAAAATCTATCTGTGTTGGTCTCTCATGCATATGGCCCTAGCCATAAGAGTCTCATAGATTTTCCTGCCTGGGCTGGCTTTGAACCACAATTCTCAGATCTCAGCCTCCCCAGTACCTAGGATTACAGGTGTGAGCCACTGGCACCCGGCTGTCCACAGCTTTTAAACTGTTTTATGATAGTTTCAAATGTGTGATATCTTTAATAAACTGACTTTTTTGTTGTTGTTCATTCCTGGAGCTTGGCATTGTCTCTAAGCTCTTTTGCTCAAGGCTAGCACTCAACCACAGCTCCACTTCTGCCTTTCAATGGTTAATGGAGATAAGAATCTCACAGGGACTTTCTGACAGGGCTGGCTTTGAACTACAATCCTCAGATCTCAGCCGCCTGGATAGCTAGGATGATGGGCATGTGAGCCACCAGAGGCCGACTTTGAAATTCTATAAGAGATTAAGAACATGGGGAAGAAATGTACACTGATGTTGGCTGTGTTAGGATTGTGGAAATAAAATTTGTCTAACTTTTTATGTGGTCTATTATGGCCACCTGTGACATTTTGTTGAAAAAACAGGATAGAGTCACTTGAATAATTTCAAAACGGTAACCATCTGGAGAGGCAGAATCAGGAGAGGAGAGAACATTTACAGGCTCGTTGGGCCTGCTCTGGGCCTCATCTGCCTACCTGTCTTTGGAAGGGAACTGGAAAACCTTATCCTAGGCACTGACGATGATTCAATAAAAATAAATAAACTATACACATTTCCACACAGGCTGAAGTAGAATCAGCTTTACACTGTTGACCGTGACACGCTGGAGCAGAGGCCGTGAGGCTGTATATTCTGTAGCTGAGATGACGATTCAAGAGTCTCCAGGCCCCGTCATAACTAGTTCCGGGAAGAAGCGGAAGTGACTGGAGGCCGGAAGTGATTGAGAAGAGGCCCCAGCCACCATGGACCGGTGGGCCACTAAGGAGCACCCGCCCATGGGGCGGGGCTCGGGGCTCCATAAAGAGCCGGGCCTGGGAGGAAGTTGGCTCCAGCCTTTGCAGCCTAGCTTTTAGGCCATGGGTCCTCCAGACTTTAGGTCCCCTATGCTTGAAGTCGCGAGGCCTGTTGAGCCTTCGCAGAGTGGAGAGCAGCCATCTGCTGAGGCTCGTCAAGGTGGCCAGCAACCGTCTGCTGAGGCTGGACCAGGTGGACAGGAGCCGTCTCCAAACCTGGACAGACTGCTTAGGGCTCCACTTCCGTCACCTCAAGTTCGCGTCGTGCCTTGGTGGTTTCCCGTTACAGAAATGAGCCAACCTATCGTCTTCTACCTGGAGACATGGGTGGTAGAGGAGATACTTGGTGAGCTGCCCCTAATCTGAGGGCTTGGTGCCAGGTGGGGAGAGGTCAGCTGGGCCTTGCTCTACAGCCTCCATCCCCCATTTTGCAGGAGTTTCTCCCCCACCCCCAAGTCCTCAGTGCTACCCTTCCCTGGGCAGCATTCCCTTCAAATCTCGACCTGCCACTGTGCCCGCCTTAAGAGTCTCCCCTACCTTGTTTAGGTGCAAACCAATCCACCATCAACGAACTGGAATGGCTGAGTCAGGCCTTGCTGCATGTGACCAAGTTGCCCTGTGGGACAGTGGCTGAAATCACCATCTTTGGACGGCCTCGAGAGCAGAATCTCCTGAAGGGCTTTCTTCTAAGCCTAGCAGTGTGGTACAAAGAACTTAAGGTCAAGCGAGGTGAGGGGCTTTGGGAACCAGCCTGAGGAGGGAGTCCCAGGTGACCCTTGTGGCCTATTGGCCTCTCTCTAGCCTCCTTTAAACTCCTCACAACATCTTTAAGTTCCTAAACATTAGGAAACTGCAGAGCTTCTGAGGTACCCTTTAGCAGGTTTAGGGCAAGAAAGTGGAGATTAGATGGTTTCAGGTGCATCACTGCCCACCTCAGTCTTAGCAGGACCACACCATTATTCCCATAGCCAAGTTGGGTGTGGCATATCACTTCTGGGGCTTGAACTCAAGGCCTGGATGCTGTCCCTTTGATCTTTTTTTTTTTTGCTCAAGGCTAGCATTCTACCACTTGAGCAACAGCTCCACTTTTGGCTTATTAATTGCAGGTGAGAGTCTCTCAGACTTTTCTTTGAACCTCAATCCTCAGATCTCAGCGTCCTGAATAGCTAAGGGTTACATGCATGAGCCACCAGGGCCTGGCTCAGGTCCAATCTTAAAAGCTATGTGTCCAGACCTTTCCTTTTCTTTTTTGTCGGTTGTGGGGCCTGAACTCTGGACCTGGGTGCTATCCCTCAGCTCTTCAGCTCAAGGCTAGTGCTCTACCATTTGAGCCACAGTGCCACTTCTGGCTTTTTCTGCTTATGTGGTGCTGAGGAATCGAACCCAGGGCCTCATGCATGCAAGGCGAGTACTCCACCACTGAGCCACCTTCCCTGCCCTTTTTCTTTTTCTAATCACAGAACATTTTTTCTTGTGGATGACTGGTATCAATTGCTTCTTTTCCAGCTGAGAGGATGCAGCAACTTGAAGAGTTTTTGAAGAACCATGAGTAATGATCAAACACTCCCCAGCATCCTGTTTAAGACAGTTTGTCAGGAGTGTTATATAGACAGCCTTGCTTCTGCTATTTAAGTTGAAGACAAGCAAGTATTCTTAAATTGCTGTATTTGTTTTTTGCGTACCTTCAGGGATAACAAGAACTATAATAAAAGAATTTTGGGGCATCTGGCATACAAAGATATTTTTGATCACATGTAATAAAAATACATAAACCATGTAGCAGTAAGGAGTGAGTAGAAGCCTGATAGTGATTTTTTTCTCCTTTTTACATATTAAAAAAAAATCCTTAAGTGTACAAAGGGGTTTCAGTTCAACAGATTAGTTCCTGACTACAATACATCTTGAGTTCCTACCATTTATGGTCAGAGGCAGGTCCTCAAATACAGGAGTATACAATTGATTGATGTAGTTTTTTGGTGGTTGTTTGAGGTGAACTCCCTTTTTGTTGCCCAGGCTAACAGCCCACCCAACTCCTGGGCTTAAGCAGTCCTCCTACCTTAGCTTGTTCAGTAATGAGACTACAAATAGGAGGTTCTGTCCCAACTCTTTTGTTAAGAAACAATTTATGTAAACCCCTAATTGGTTTCCAAATGTTAAGATCAGGAAGAACCCACCTGAGAGCTTGTCAAAACACAATTTCCCAGGCTCTTTCTCCAGATTCTCATTCAGTACATTGAAAGGCTCACAATTTGCATTTCTAATGAGCACAAGATGTCAAGGTGACCTCTGAGGTGTTCACTTTGAAGCTGTTTCTTGATAGGGCCGAGCACCAGGCAGGCAGTCTCCAACTTGTGTGGGAGATGGATGTCTTTCCAGTGTGCTAGATGGACCTTTAGAACGCTGGGTGAAGGTGAGTTCTGCCTTGGTGTCAGCTGTATTCATTGTCTGTGATGCCACACAGGTGTTCATGGCAGACTGGGAAGCTGGTCAATTTTAATCCTACCTCAGTGACCCAACTATCTGCAAGATGGGTTCTGCACTTGTGCTGCCACTTTTGGGAACTGGAATTCTTGGGTCAGAAAGTGTCAAGAGCTCTAGGCCTTTAGAGAACATGGAGGTTGGGTTGAGTCATGCAGTTCCCTCTCCTGCTTGGCAGTAAGAGGAGCTAGCCTTTTGTAGGATTTTACATTCACACAAGTCTTAAATTGTGAGTCTTGGATTACAGGGGACAATGACCATTACCTACATTTGCTTTAATGGTCTCATATTTGCAACCTCTTGTGTATTTTTTTTGCATCCTCTTGTTTATTTTTTTTGCATAGGAAAGACTTTACTACATCAAACATTTTTTTCTGGTTTCCCATAGTGTGTGTGTGTGTGTGTGTGTGTGTGTGTGTGTGTGTGTGTGTGTGTGTGTGTGTGTGTGTGTGTGTGTGTGTGTGTGTGTGTGTGTGTGTGTGTGTGTGTGTGTGTGTGTGTGTGTGTGTGTGTGTACACATATACTAGTACTCAGAACTATGTGCTATCTCTTAGCTTTCTTTTTTTGCTCAACCTGGTACTTGACCACTTGAGCTACACTTCCACTTTTAGCTTTTATGGAAGTTAATTAGAAATGTAAGTCTCATTGACTTTTCTGATTGGGCTGGCTTCAAACCATGATCCTCAAATAACAGCCTCCTAAGTATCTGGGATTACAGGTGTAAGCCACTGGCACTTGACTCCTATTTTCTCTCTCAGATGTGTCAAATTTTCTTCAGGTGAGAATTCTACAAAGCCAATGAGTGTTTTGACTTATTTGTGGAGCAAGGTTTATGGTTAAACTTAACTTTTCAAAACTGAAATTACTGGGTGATCCTACATGCTTCCATCCTTCATATGTGGTATCAGATACTCGAATCCTAAGCTCCAGGGCCTCAGAATGTGATTTAATGTGAAGACAGAGACTTTAAAATGGCGATGGAGGTAAAATAGAGGTCATATGGCTAGTTTGTAGTCTACTATGACCAGTTCCCTATAAGAAGGGGAAATTTGGACATAGATGTGAACACAGGAAGACCATGCAAAGACACAGGAGGGGGTTTTCTGTAAGCCAAGGAGAAAGGACTTGTATTCCTAACCTCTTGACTTCTTCCATCTTGGATTTATAGGTCCTGGAACTTTTAACAACATATTCATCTAGTCTGTGGCATTTTGTTATGGCAGCCCTTTCAAACATATTTGGGTTCCTTTTGACCCACTTGCTAATACCATACTTACATTGGCAAAAGATAATTCCTTTGTTCTAGGTTTCAGACTCCAGGAGTTATACTGGATATATATTGGTTCTGCATGGAACACATACCTGTAATCATAGCTACTCAGGAGGCTGAGATATGAGGATCATGGTTGAAAGCCAGCCCAGGCAGGAAAGGCTGTGACACTCTTAATCTCCAGACAACTGGAAGTGGTGCTGTGGCTCAAGCATTAGAGCGCTTGCCTTGAGCTGAAGAGCTGAGGGACAGTGTCCAGGCCAAGTTCAAGCCCTATGACCGACCAAAAAAAAAAAAAAAAAGCATGGCTGCTTTTCCTTAGCTTTATCATTCAAAGCTGGCATTCTACCACTAGTGCCTCACCTCTACTTCTGTCTTTTTGCTGTTAATTGGAAATAAGGGTCTTATGGACTCTCCTTCCTAGGCAGGTTTTGAACTATGATCCTCAGCTCTTCTGAATAGCTAGGAATACAGGTATGATCCATGGGTGTCCAGCTTGTAGTCTTTTTTTTTTTTCTTTTGTTGGTCCTGGGGCTTGAACTCAGGGCCTGGCTGCTCTCTTTGAGCCTCTGTATGCTCTACCACTTGAGCCACAGTGCCACTTGTGGCTTTTTCTGAGTAGTTTATCAGAGATAAAAGTCTCAACAGATTTTCCTGTCTGGGCTGGCTTTGAACCATGGTCCTCGGATCTCAGTAGTAGGTAGGATTACAGGCTTAAGCCACCCATGCCCAGCAAAGCCCATAGCCTTTTTTTTTTTGGGGGGGGGGTGTCCAGTTGTGGAGCCTGAACTCTGGACCTGGGTGCTGTCCCTCAGCTCTTCAGCTCAAGGCTAGTGCTCTACCACTTGAGCCACAGAGCCACTTCTGGCTTTTATCTTTTTGCTCATGTGGTGCTGAGGAATCGAAAGCAGGGCCTCAGGCATGCAAGGCAAGCGCTCTACCACTGAGCCACCTTCCCAGCCCCAGCCCATAGTCTTTTTAACATCATATGTTACTTATGCAGGGGGAGATTTCACTGGTTTTCATGCTTGTATATAATGTATTCCAACATTGGACATTTCCTTTATAATATTGCTGGAAGTCAGTGTTTTCCAGTCTGGCCTTATCCTGATCATGCTGCCTCAGACCCCTGAATTCTGGGATGTACCACATTCTGTACATGCGCCACAACAACTGAAATGACTTTCTGGGACTATCAGTGGGTTTGCTCTCTTGAGCTCTGTCTGTCTCTGTCTGTCTTTCTGTTTGCAGCCCCGGCTGGTGTTACATTTCTAATCCTCTTGGCTTCAGCTTCTCCAGTGCTGGGACCACAAGATACGTGCCATCAGATGTGGCCTATCTCTACCTTTTGATTTTGTAGTCCAGTGCAATTATTGCTGTCATCAGATTTTCTGGTAGTTATTTGTTTTGCTGTCATATGCTTTGTTGTTCTTTATCTCTTTGTTTGCAGTAGGTAAGTAAGTTTTAGTGTTCCACTTAAATTACTTTCTTTTTGAAGTACTGGGGTTAGAACTCCAGGCCTCACTCTTGTTAAGGGAAGCATTTTACCACTGGCCCCTAGTCCTTTTTGCTTTATTTACTTTTCTGATAGGATTTCATGCTTTTTGCTTGGACTAAGACTTCCATGTAATAGACTTGTAGACATGTACCCCACTATATCTTATTTGGTTAAGATAGGGTCTCACTAATCCACTTCAAGGGAATTTGGTTAAGATAGGGTCTCACTAATCCACTTCAAGGGAATTTGGTTAAGATAGGGTCTCACTAATCCACTTCAAGGGAATGCCCCAGTAACCCCAAAACCTCTCTAGTTGTCACCTCTTAAAGGTTTTACCAACTCTCAAGAGCACCACACTGGAAACCATGTCTTTGCCATATGGCTTCTAGAGAACATTGCAGGAAAATGCTCTAAGATGTTAAGAGTTATGTGTGTAGAAAAGTTTTTAGGGCTCAGAGTTTTGTTCTACAGTGATGAGAAATGTCAGCATGGTCACAGCATGGACTAGGTCCAGCCAAACTCAACTCTTTGCTGGTAGCTGGGTTTGTTCACTAGTACTTTTCCACTTGAGCCAGGACTCCAGCCTGTTTTGTTGCTGGTTATTTGGAGATAGACTTTCACATAGGCTTTCTTTTTGCCTTGGCTGGCTTCAAACTGTCATCCTCATGGTCTCAGCCTCTGAGGAGCTAGGGTTAGAGTCATGAGCCACTGGTGCCCTAACCCCATTAGCTGACATCTTCAGAGTTCCTGCAAACTGATCAATGATGGCCCATGAGGATATTACTGAAACTAGGGACAGTGAAGAGGAGCTGCTCAGAAGGAACTGGGCTTTTACCTAAGGACACAGTATTTCTCCATCCCTGTGCAGTGTTGCCATAGACCAGAGAGACAATGAACACTAGGGATTTAACAGCTCAGGCAGAAACTGAGTTGTTACTATAATTTTCAGTTTTTATTGGTTGATATGTGGTCTTGCTACCTTTTGCCTGCACTGGCCACAAATTGTGATTCTCCTGATCTCTGCCTCTGGATCAGCTAGAATTACAGGCCTGAGCCAGTACAAATGGCCAAACATACCTGTTTTTGCCACAAATGATAAAATGCATACAGTTTCCTTATTTCTCACTTCTCCCTCCCTCCCTTCTCCCTCCCTCCCTCCCTTCTCCCTTCCTTCCCTCCTTCCCTCCTTCCCTCCCTCCCTCCCTCCCTCTCTTCCTCCCTCCCTCCCTCTCTTCCTCCCTCCCTCCTTTCCTTCCTTCCTTCCGCCTTCCTTCCTCCCTTCCTTCTTTCACTGGTCCTGGAGCTT